TTTATTCTGGGCTCTATTTCAATGTGAATTCCCTCATATAACAAACCCTCATCTCAACCACCCCGACACCCAGGCTCCTGCTCCGCTCTGAAGCAAACGTGTGAGTCATGTATTGACTTCCCAGTGACTGCTCTTTGAAGATTTGGTGGCTTTTGTGTCAGCTGTTTGAACAGCTCTCTCTCACTGCTGAGGAGTTTGACGCCAAACAAGCTGCCAGCCCCGGCTGCATTTCAAGAATATGAAATAATCTGTATCGTTGCAGTTCCTTTAGGATGTGATTCTGCTTTATCAGGGAAATATCCTCAGTTGTGGTAGTGGAGTTTTCACATGGGGAGAATACTGACTTCTTTAGCTCAGTCTTCAGTGTTACTGCCATTAGTTTCCCGTCTGCAGAATATATGAGGTTTACAAGTAAAATTCATTGCAGCTCATAAATTGTATATGCAGGGTATATAAGGATATGCCAGAGCCCAGCAGTGACATAAAAAATGTGCATAGAAATGAAAAACCCTACCATGTGCCTTTGAGGTTTATTCTGGTTTTCCCCAGTTCGTTCCTCTCCTTTGCCTGCCCCAAGCTCAGGTTAAACTCAGTTTGCCTTTGTGTGGTGGGGGGTCCTGCTTGTTGGATCATCCTGGGACCACATCAGCTCCCTGGCAGGGTCTTTCTGAGGGACCAGAAATCTTCCTCACTTGAAGATTTCTTGTTCTTATTGTTTAGATTAAAAATCTACTTATCGTCTGTACTTAACCTGAACTTTTCCCATCCTTCCCAATAAACCCTTGTTAAAATCCTAATTTTAGAATATTTTCTGTGTTGATGAGCAGTGAGGAAGGTCCTCAAATCCCTGGCACTGGAGGATGAGCTGTACCAAGCCATGCAATGCCAAAGGCTTTGTCTGTTGTTCCCATAACTTTAATAAACATCCAGGAGGCAGCTCCTGGCAGCTGCTAATTTTAAAGTAATGTATTAATCAAATTAATTGAGAGTTCCTTTTAATAATCAGCAGCAACAACATAACTTTGTGATATTTTCAGTGTTGCTAAAAGTGATCCCTCCCCCCCTCAAAAGAGGATCTCTGCAGATAAATCAGCTGAAAAAGTGTTAAATTGTCTCTTTTGCTACCTGATAATCCAATTAAGTGGTGATAAGAAAAATAGCTCCTGGAGAATTTCAGGGAAGCAGAATAATGTACTTAGTGTTGTACCAGAATCCAAATACCATATAATCGTGGGTATCCATGGATACTGAAGCAACACTTTGATTACCAGATACATCCATTACCCTTAAATACCAGCGGTGGGGTTTAATGCCCCGACCAATTTACCGCGTGACTGCTCCAGCCTGCAGAGAACCCTCCTGGGGATCTGCTCTCCCAGCGCAGCACAGGAGCTGTCAGTGGGTGAAAGGAAGGCAGCCAGGATATTTTTGAGACTCTCTTCCTGGTTCCTGAGTGCTTTCAGCTGCCACCCAGCTGGCTCCATCTGCCTGCCCTCCAGCTGCCGGGAGCTGGAGCATCCTGGGATGTGGCCTGAGCCCTGTGCCACATCTGGGGCTTAGGAGTGGGATTCCCAGGAAGAATGATCATGTGATGATCCTTTAGAGTGCTTGTGCTGTTGGGAGTCGCTCCCCAGTGGGGGGATGGACTTGATGTACCAACCTTTTGTCATGGCAAGATGAGCGTGTTGGTTATTTCACAGCACAGGATCCGTAGTGAGGCTGAGGACACAAATTCATGGAATCATAAAATCCTATAATGGTGTACTTGGAAGGGGCCTTAAATCTCATCCAGTGCCACCTTCTGCCCTGGGCAGGGACACCTTCTGTTAGCCCAGGTTGCTCCAAGCCCTGTCCAACCTGGCCTTGGACACTCCAGGGCTGGGGCAGCCACAGCTTCCCCAGGGGTGTCAGAGCAGCCCCAGTTTGGTCACAGGGTGGCTTTTGGCTCCAGACTCCCACCCTTTGCCACAGCACTTTGTGCCAGTGAGAGCATTTGTCACATCCCCAGCCCGTCAGGGGTGATAGATCACTGCAGGAGTTCATGACAAAGTCCTGAATTGGCAACTTTCACGTTGCTACCACTTAATTGCCTCAGAGGGTTTTACCTTGCGAGTGCAGTGCATTAACCTGACAGTTTAAATAACTGTGCATGCACTTCCTGCTGGAACAGGAGTGCAGGATGAGAATATGAAAGCTGAACTTACTCTATCTGTGCCATTTGGACAATCCCCCCCAAATCCTTGGGCACCTCTACTTGCTGAGAGTGGTAAATGACGGGGGCCCTGCCTGCCAGGAGCTCCTCCAGAGGGACTGGAGCACTGTCATCCCAGCTCAGGGCTTGGATGTGAACAGCAGCTGATGGGCTGATGTAGATGGGTGCTGGGATGGATCACTGCTGCTGCAAGACCTTTGTGCTCAGGGTGTGGATTTGAGCAAAGCAAACTGGAGAACAGCACACTGTGACCCCTCTGGGTGGCTTTGGGGCTGCATTTGTTCCTCAGGCCTCTGTTTGCTCTTTTGGGCTGCATTCCCAATCCTCTCACCTCTTCTGGTCCTGCTCTGCTCTGTCCTGGGGGGCCCTCGCAGAAGGACACTGTGGAGGGAAGGCAGAAATTTCCAAGTGACAAATCCTGGAGCTCTGTAGCACTCTGGGGCTGGGGTTGGTTTTTCCCCTTCTTTTCTCTCAGTGAATTCTCCAAAGCTGCCACGTCCTTGTTTTACAAGAGGGATGGGAGTCTCTCGGGGGAGCTTTGGAGTAGCTTGGCTTGGAGTGCTGGAGTGCCAGGGAGGGCACAGGGACTTCCCAGGAGCAGATGATAACTTGAAATTCTCCTTAGGCTTGGTGCCAGGGCAGAGAGATTTTCCCCCAGCAGAGCCACATGGATGGCTTCCCTGACTGCTGTGCCTGGGTGGTGCCCTGGCCCTGCCACGGAGCAGGATGCTCAGAGCCAGGGCTGGCTGGGGGATTTGTGCTTTTAACCAGCTGCAATCCCTGCCAAGTGGGTCATTTCAGGAAAGCTGGATGGCACTGCTCATGGATTCAAGTTCATTGTGCCTAATTTTGACTGGGGAAAATGAGAGAGCATTTTAAACTCTTTAAATTTTTGAACTCACCAGCAGTGAGGCTTTGTCTCTCCATTGAAAAATGAAGTTTATTTTTAAAAATGTGTATTGTTTCCTTTGAAAAAACAACCAAACAAACAACAAAAACACCAGGTTGCAAAAATTTCAGGTTGTGATAATTGGGAAACAAAATGAAAGATTTTGTGTGAGTCAAAGAAGAACTTGGGGGTTATTATTCTCTTTTATTCTTTCCCTGCCTTTTCTTTTCACTGTTTTATTTCTTCCCACCAAGCCAATCCTTCTTCCCCCGGAGCTTTTGGAGCAGCCAGCACAGCAGAGCTGCTTTGCCTTCAGGCAGCCCCTGCATCTCAGGCAAGGGAAAACGAGCCTGGCCTGCTCTGGGAGGTGCTCAGGGAGGCAGATTTCCCAGGTTTGGAAGGCTGAGTTTGGTTTTCAGGGCTGTTGCAGGGGTTTCTGCAGGTGTTGCCATGGCTGCTGTGCCCAGGATGATGCTCCAGTGGCAGATGGTGCATGCTGGGGGGATGAGCCTCCTCCTGCTGTAGGATCTCTCCATTCCAACACCTTCTCCAGTGCCTCATCTAACAAACAGTACTTTTAGATCTGTATTTTAAAGCATATCTGAGAATCTCTCCTTTGTCCTGCTGCCTTTTAATTAACTCATCCCCACTGCTGTTTCTTATTAAGCAGCTCTGATATGTTATTAATTAACACACTATGCAGTAGGGTGGGGAGGTTGGTATCTAAGATGCCATAAAAGATGAAAGTGTTTACCACTGAGAAGCAAAATAATTAAGGCAAAAGTTGTGTTTTCATCTGCAAGCAACAAGCAGAATATCACTGGAGATGGGATGTTTTTTTCTTTTATTTTTCCTAAAACAAACTAAAAAACTGTAATATGGGAATGTGCTGAAAGTGAGCCTTTGGCTGTGGGTGTCCCTGTTCTGTGCTCACACTTTTTGCCATGTTTTCTGTGTATTTGTGAGAAGTCCCATTCACAGATGTACTTTATCTCGAGGCTTCAATATTTGGGTCTCTCCAGCCCAGCTGGGGATGGACATTGGAACAAATAAGGATTTTCTTGATCTTTATCCTTTATTTTCATTTTTATCCTTGGTTTGGTTTGGTTTTTTTGTTTTTTGGTTTGGTTTGGTTTTGGTTTGGTTTGGTTTGGTTTTTTTGTTTTTTGTTTTGGTTTGGTTTTGGTTTGGTTTGGTTTTTTGTTTTGAGGTGATTTTGTTTTTGTTTTTTGGGGGGTTTTTGTGGGGGTTTTTTGTTTTGTTTTGTTTTGGGATTTTTTTGTGGGGTTGTTTGGTTTTTTCTGCTTTGCCAATATTTCGACTCCTGGGCTGTTCCTATTCCAGATAAGTCACTTCAGTGTAAACATTTTCCCTCAATAGCCTTCAGCTTGCAAAATCAAAAAGAATCTCAGCCCTTTGCTGAGATAAAATTTGTCCAATACACCTCCAGCATCACTTGCCTTTCAGCCTGTTGGTTTGGGGTGTGTTTTTTAATCTGTTTAAGCTTATTCAGGCTGTTGTTAGGATTGGTTTACTTTTTTAATTCCTCTAATTTTAATCCTTCCGCTGACCATATATTTGTTTATTTTGCTTTTCTACAATGTTGGGTTTTCCCATCTGTTTAAACCACAGCCCTACCCAGCCATGCAGGCTGTGTGTCAGAACTCTCTGTGCAAAACAATAATGGTATGAATTAATGGTATGGCTATGAAATAATGGTCTGACACCCCCAGGCAGTGGCACCTGAAGTGCCCACAAGGGCAGTGATCCCATCAGAGCATTCCTCTTCCCCCCAGCTCCCCTCCAGCAGGTGTATTTCCCACTGCCCCACCTGTGCTCTCCTCTGATGTGTCCTTTTCCTCCTGTGAAAGTCCTTTTGCTCTTCCTGTCTCTGCCCAGGTGGGCTCTGCATCGCCCAGTCCCTGAAGATCCCCCAGGACCGCAAGGACAAGACCATCGACTTCGACAAAATCATCAAGCAGCTCCTGGAAACCCCCAACGCCAGGGCCATCGTCATCTTCGCCAACGACGAGGACATAAAGTAAGGGCAGCTGGGGGGATTAATTAATTGGGCTTGACAGCTCTGCAGAGCAGGCAAGGCAAACAGAACAGGGGGAGTGAGCTGGGAATGTCTGCTGGTGAGAGCAATGTGGGGGGAAGCACCAGGCACGAGGCTGCTGCTGCCCTGGCTCGTGGGGTGCCCAGACCATGCTGGGGGCACAGGAAGAGTGCCCAGGATCTGGGAGCTTTTCCTGGCATAGGGTTACTCATGCACTGGATGGCAGAGCTGACCTTACCTCTCAAAGAGGCATTAAGAGTTCGCCCCTCTCTCCAAGCTCATTCTGTCATGTATAATTAATTATTTCAGACTCTATTTTATGGCAAATGAAGGTTAATAGTGATAAAATGACTTGGATGCTCAAGGTTAAATCACGTAGAGCTGGCTCATAAAATAATACAAAGAATATTTTATATAGCGTTTCTCACTTGCCCATGTTCCATATTCTCACTCCAGAATTTTAAATCAGCTTAAAATTGTGATGGAATCATCAGCTGCTGAGAGGCTCAGTCCTACAATGAGACAAAAAGGATTCAGGGTGAAGTTTCAATAAAGTCAGTGGCAGAACTCCAAGTTTTGGTGGAATCAATATGTCAGTCATGGGATATAGGGGGAATTTAAAGAAAAGAGAAGCCCTGTTGGTGCTGCAAAGAATGGTTTGGGCTGGGAGGGACCTTTAATGGTCATCTTGTTCCAACCCTCTGCCATGGGCACCAACACCTTGCAGTAGACCAGGCTGTCAGAGCCCAGTGATGTGGGGCATGCCAAACACACAGCCCTGGGCACAGGAACGGGCTGTTCCTGTCCATGGCAGCGTCCATTGGGTTGGGAAAGATCTGAGGTCACTGAGTGCACCATTCTGCCATTGCCAGGGCCATCTGCTGAAGCAGCCCCGTGTTTGGGTGACGTGATGTGTGAACAAGCCCTTCTTTCCCACAGGCAGATCCTGGCGGCCGCCAAGAGGGCGGATCAAGTGGGGCATTTCCTGTGGGTGGGCTCGGACACGTGGGGCTCCAAGGTGAGCCCGCTGCTGCAGCAGGAGGACGTCGCCGAGGGGGCCATCACCATCCTGCCCAAGAGAGCCACCATCGAGGGTAAGAGCTCCCTGCCCTTCTCCTGCTGCCTCCCTGGAGCTGGCAGAGCGGCCACCTCTGTGTTCCCAGAGGTGCTGTGGGATAAAGGTGCCCAGGCTGGAAAGCACGTGGAGTCAGTGCTGAATGCTCCTCACACACATGGACATGTATGTAAAACTTATGGGAAGCTTTGACGTAATCCCTTTGTTTCTCACCATTGCTTTGTGCTCTGAAGAGTTTGTTGTCCGCTCTCTCCTCACTTTGTTAATGCTTTTGTGTGCAGGGATGCTTAACTATCTTTCTCTGGGCACCAAACTGGTTGATTAAGGTCTGTGTTCTCTATAATGCAGAAAGAAAAGTTGTTTACAAGGTTTAGAAGGTAAAGAACTTTCCTGTGAGTGAAGAAAACAAACTCCTCAGCTGGCACAAGGTGTTGTGTGGGGCAGGGTCTCCGAAGAGTCCTTGAGCACACTGCCTACATTAAAATGGGTTCTGGTGTCTTCACTCCCTGGAAAACCAAATATTTGCATTTTCCTGTGCCTGCACTCCCTCCTCATCAGTTATTCTTCTCAGGTGTATCATGTGCTTATTTCTTTTACATTTTTCAGCCCCCGAGGTGTTCTTGAACGTTGTTTCTCCGTAAATACCTAAAGTTGATAGACAATGAAGTGGTTTGTTTCTGAAAACCAGGGTATTTTAATAAGCTTTTCTTACTGTCTGCATTCATCCCTGTGGGTTCCTGACACAGAAAAGAAAATTCTGCCAACAGTAAACAGAAACTTTCCAGGTTTGTTTGTTTTAAAATATTTTCCTTCTCTATTACACATTGAACCCATAAGGGGAAGCATGGGAGGTTTTTTTGGACACAGTAAGTGAGGAGAGCAGAGTGGAAGGGTCCAGGTATAGAAAGTCAGTTAAATAACAGTGTATGTGTTTATTGAGCCCACAAATATCTTCTTATTCAGTGCCTGTGTTGAAGAATGGCTGACAGTTGGCTGGTTGTGTCCTGCACTTGTAGCCACGTAGGCTGGGTGATCAGCGGTGAGGCTGAAATCACATTTGGCCTGTCAGTGTATCTGAGGTGTTCATCCTCTAGGAGCAGTTTTATTCTGAGGTCCATGTGTCACAGGTGACCTCCTGGGCAGGGCAGAGCAGCTGGGCAGCAGTAGGGGCTGTCCCAGCAGGCAGAGCCAGGTGTCCCTGTCCGGAGCAGAGGCTCCCTGGCTGCTCCCAGAGCTTCGGGCTGGTTCTCACCTTCCTCAGCCCTGTTCATCCACCCCCAAATGCCACCTGGATCTGCCTCCTGCTCCTGCTGTTACAGGGAGGGTAAGGGGATGCCCATCCCTGTTCTTCCAAAGCACTTTTCCAGGACTCCACATTCCCCCCTCTCAGCCCAATTCCATTTTGGTTTTATCCACCAAGAGAAGCATCTGTAGCTCTGTTAAAGGAATCAGTAATCCTTGGGCATTGGTGTTCCCATGCTTAGGGAGGCTCTTACCCCTCTGGATTGCTGCCTGCCTTGAATTTAGGCTGCTGGATGCTGTTTTGTTTTCCTTTCTGTTGTTTTAATTTCATTTGGCCGAGAGTCCAGGAGAAGGGAATTAGACATTTTTATGTTATTCTTTCATCATCCAGCAATGAACATCTGCTTCCCAAAATTCAGCAATGCATTTCTTTTGGTGAAGGCATAAAATAAAAGAAATAAGCTGCCTTGGTTTTGCCTGTAAATTGATGGAAACAAAGTAAATGAGCAGCAGGAGCAGCTCCCAGCCCAGCAGGCTCCATCAGAGCAGCAGCCCTGGGGCTCACAGGCTCCAGGTCAAGGCAACAGTTAAGCACCAGCTTAATTCCCATTGGATTTGGTGAGAATTCTGTGTTAGTCATGAATGAGGGGGTTGCCCTTATTTTACTCCTCAAGAGCTTGTTTTATTTTTTTCCCTTTCCTTTTATCACTGTCTCAGGTAGTATTTGAAACGTGGGAAAAAGATTCCCAGGAAGCCTGACTGGAAGCAGAGAGCACTGCAGCTCCTGTGCCTCCTCCTGAACGTGTGACTCTGCTCACAGCTGGGGGAACTTAGCCAGGAAATCCCAGAGTAGCTGGTGTTGGAAGTGACCTGAGGAGCCCATCCAGCCCAACCCCCCTCCCAAGGCAGGGTCACCTGGAGCAGGTGACACAGGAACGTGTCCAGGTGGGTTTGGGATGTCTCCAGAGCAGGAGATTCCACACCCTCTCTGGGCAGCTGTTCCAGGCTCTGCCAGCCTCAGTGTAAAGAAGTTGCTCCTCCTGTTGAGGTGGAACTTCCTGTGTTATATTTATGGCCATTGCTCCTCATGGTGTCACTGGGCACCACTGAACAGAGTGTGGGACCATCCTGACACCCCTTGGAGATATTTGTGTGGATTGATGGGATCTCTCAGCCTTCCCTTCTGCAGACCAACCAGGCCCAGCTCCTGCAGTCTCTGCTCATCACAGAGATGCTCCAGACCCCAAATCATCTTTGTGGCCTCCACTGGACCCTCTCCAGTAGCTCCTTGTCTTTCTTGAACTGTGGAGACCGGAGTGTTACACCCATCTGCATACATCCCAGCTGGCATTCCTGACAGTGGGAATATCCCAGCAGCCTCTGGCTCCAGAGGGAGCCCAAAGCCCTTGGTTTCTTGTAGGATCAGGCCCCAGATTCGCAGTTATTTGTCTTGATACTTGATGTCACTCTTGGGACAGAATTTTCTTTGCCACGATCCCACGGGGGGGATTTAGGAAATCATTACATGAACTGAATTCATTCATCTTAAGTCACTCTTAATATAGCCTGATTGTGTGTGATGTAATTATGCTGGAAGGATAAAGTTGCATTTTATTTGCATAATTGCAGTAGACAGGGAGCCAGAGGAGCTGCACATTAAAGAGCTGGAAAGTTGGGAACATGCTCCATAGCCAGTTTAACCAGGTACCAGGGAAGCTGAAAGGTTTGAGATGTTTTCAGGGGGAATAAAAGCAGATTATATTTATTTTTAGAACAATTATGGCAGCAGGACATTGCATTCTGGTTCTTGTTGCTTTGAACTCTTCCAGAAGAGGGTTGTGATGGTGTGTCCTCACGTGGAGAGAAGAGCACTGAAACATCAGCCCCGTCCTGAGTCTTAGAAATCATTTTCCTCTTAAACTCAGCTGTGAGAAAATCAGCAACTATCTACTCACTTCTTCCTTTCTGTTGTTCCTATACCTCTTTGCTGTGCAAAACTTATCAAATTGGGCTGTTACCCTGTGGTTCATGTTGTTACCTGTTCATCTACTGACTGAACACTTCCAGAAATCTGTTTTTTTCTCCAATCATTTTTCTTTTGAAATAGGCTTGCTTATCTTTCCTATGTGTCTGTGATCAGTCCTGATGGACACACCAGCTCCCAGGGAAATGAAACCAGGGAGAGGAGCAGCTGCAGGGAAAATACAGAGGCTCATGTACATATATGAGAGTGTGTGTGTGATGTTATTGTTTAGAAAGGTGGGAAAATGCTTTGCTGATGTAGAAAAAAATATTATTTACAGGCTGAGCTCGGAACTGATGCAACCAAACAGAGAGATTCAGGTAGATTTAAGATGAATGACTGCAGTCCAACAGGCTGGGGATGTGGCCCAGGCTGCAGTTTGTGGAGCTCTGGGCTTGGAGGTTAAGGGATGGCTCCAATCCAGCCCAGGGACATGCCCAGCTATTCAAAAAAAGAGGAAAGCTGCAAACCAACATAACTGTCCTTGAATTTTTCAGTTGTTCTATCATCCAAAAGGGGTGATGAATCCTAGGTTTATGTTTTGGTTTTATTTCCAATAAGAACCAATTTGCTTCTGGGTTTTTTGGGTGGGATGAACTGGGAAAAAAGCAATGGAAGGGTAGTGATTTAAGGAAAAATCAGTGTGAAATGGTATCTCGCTGTTCAGTGGCTCTGAAATGTTTTCCCTTCACATCCCCAGTGCAGGAGCTCAGGGCTCATTGTGCTCTGAGTTAGAGACAGTTTGGATTTAATCCAGTGTTAATAAACATGGGCACACTGCTCTGCATCTCACCAGGCCTGCCTTCACCTGGGATGCTTCCCTGGGAATGATGTGCTTCCTGCAGCACCTCCCACCTCCTCCCTCAGGAGCACCAGGCTGGCTCAGATGGCAGAGGAACATTGGTAAAATAGCCCACTTTGGATTTCTTTGCTTTCTTTACAGCTTGCTTCAGCATCTATTCCAGTCCTCTGTTGTTCTTCAGCTTTTTCTGTGTCCCTGGGGCATGAGCATGTGCTTCTGAGAGAGTCAGTGGGCTGGAAAGATGTGGCTCCAGGGTTTGGTTCATCCCGGGCTGTGGGGCTGCAGCCTCGCTGGGCAGAGCCCAGGAGCACCAGGAGCCAGGGGGACACCAGTCCTAAGGGACAGGGCTTGGACCAGCACTCCCAGATTTACCCATTCCTCCCATTTCCTGCCCTGAATTTTCCTCTCCTCTCCTCACCCCCACACACCTTTCCCATTTTCCTTCCTGCCCTGCTGAGGGGCTCCAGCACTGCTGGATCTGTCCCCCCTCATCCCCCAGGCTGGTTGGGAGCAGTGGGAGCAGCTCAGGGATCTCCCCTGCCCCCGAGCCAGGCTCCAGCCCTGGGGAGGGGACACCCCCAGTCTCTGCTAAGAGAGGGGTTTTGTCCAAAAGGTGTTTTCAGGTGGCACTTCCCATTCCTCACAGGGACCTGTTCAGGAAGGATGCACCTTTCTGTTCTCTCCATCAGTCACTGTGTTTAAAGCCATTCTACCTGCAGACTTGTTGGGCCTGTGTCTCCCCAGTGCTGATGAAGCCCTTACTTGAATTTAAATTAATCCTGCAGTTACCTGGGAGTCCAAGGCACACTCAGAGCCTTGCAAAGTTTATCGAGTATTGACTCCAGCCTGCTGAAGAGTCACCCTGGGAGTTCAGCTTAGCTTTGATTCCTCCTGGCTTCGTGCTGGATCTCATGGTCCCCTACCTGTGCATGGACAGACGTGTTCAGCAGGA